CTCACTCATTCAACAAGGACCTATTGAACATCTGTTCTGTGCCCAGTCCTGCTCTTGATGCTAAGAATACAATGGGCCACAAGGCGGATAAAGCCCTGCCTTTATAAAGGTCATGGTCTAGAGGGGCAGGAGACAAGAAACACGTAATTACCAGTGTGATAAGAGTTATGAAAAAGGAACAACAGTGTGCTAAGGGGCAGATAGCAAGGCATTCAACCTGGTCTGGGAGAGAGAGAGTTCTTTTCAGACGTGATGCGTAAGCCGACACTGAAATGCAGAATGGAGTTATCCAGGTGAAGGGGGAGAGGGGAGTGAGGGGAGACGAATCTACCCATCAGAAGGAAGACACAGTGCAAAAGTCCAGAGTGGAGAGAATATGGCACCTTTGAGGAGCTAAAACATGTCCAAGAGGGCTGCAGTAGGAATGGGGCTGAAGTCCAAGAGCTAGGGCTGGCCCTTCTGGGCCGGAAAGTGACCACTTTCCACATAAAGTGGAAAAGTAATTAAGTGTCTGCTGGGCTCAATGGTCAAGACAAATCGAAGCTAAAGCAAATATCCTCTCTCCTGTCCCACTTTATGCAGGAAAGCAGGCTCCCTTCTTGCACAGTTGTACAGGGATAGTGTAGACCATGTGCACCCTTACTAAGAGGGTCCCTGCCCTGCTCCCTGTACCTGTCATCTCACCTCTACGCAATCAGCCTTCAGCGCAGGACCCATGGACACCCTGCATCTACAAGCTCTGTCCCACCAGTCCCTGCAAGTCCTTGAGGACAGGAGTCTGCCTTCTTTGTCTCTGTTTCTGCAGCACCAACACAGTGCCTGGCACCCAGGGTGCTCAGTGAGTGCACAACTCCACTGCGCCAGGGGAAGTACCTGGTATTCAATTTTTTCTTGTGATGGGCTGAGCCCTAAATACCTGAGGAGGCTCCAAAAGGTATTTTTTTTTTTTTTTTTTTTTTTTTTTGAGACAGAGTCTTGCTCTGTCACCCAGGCTGGAGTGGAGTGGCACGATCTTGGCTCACTGCAAGCTCCGCCTCCTGGGTTCACGCCATTCTCCTGCCTCAGCCTCCTGAGTAGCTGGGACTATAGGTGCCCGCCACCGCGCCCGGCTAATTTTTTGTATTTTTAGTAGAGACGGGGTTTCACCGTGTTAGCCAGGATGGTCTCGATCTCCTGACCTCGTGATCCGCCCACTTTGGCCTCCCAAAGTGCTAGGATTACAGCCATTGGGCTGGTTCACAGTTGGACTTCTGCCTCAGTTTCTCTGCTTAATATTTCAGTGACCTGATAAGGCTGGAGTTGTGCCTGGAAACCCTAGCCACTGAAGTTTATGGATTACCTGCTGAGTGTAGACACAGTGTCAGATGCTGTTGAGGATGGTATACAACAGCATTTGCTATTAAAAAAAACACACTAGAAGACATGAGCCCTGATCACATGCATCTAAGCATTTGCAATAATTAAGTGTGCTGGGTTTTCATTAGTATTTCGAAAAGTGAAAATCATCTTGTTTCATCACTTCGAAGGATAAGGTGATTCTGACTACAAATATGACACTTAAGTAATCTTATGCTTAAAAAAAATTGGTCTTTGTAGGTGCCAACACTTACTTCCTCCTTTTTCCAGTTGACAGCTGTTTTACATTCATTACATCTTTGTGTTATGAAATCCACATGAGGTAAAAAGTGGCACTGGTTTCAGAGATGGAATAGAGTTCAAAGTTCTTTGACGTATTCAAAGACTTTCACCATCTTACCCCAACCTCCTTGCACTGTTCCTTTTCATATTCTCTTTCATGAAGATGTCTTTTTCTCCATTTCTGCTTGCTTTCACTCTTCCTCCTCCATCTCTGACTTCTTCCTCTATTCCTGGCTCCTCATTTTCTGTGTTCTTTCTCGTCTTTCACCTGGCGCCCTGATCAGACTCGTGTTCTCATACATCAACTGTGTATAGCTAACAATTTTTGATGGCTAACTTAGAAAGCTAACCAAAAATGTCCTCCTGATTGTACAATTAAAACAATTCATTTTCAAATTTGGGAAATATGGAAAGTATAAAGGACACAAGGGTCACTGCTGACTATGGAGGAGTGGTCAAGAGCACAGGCTTCGAACCTCAGCTTTGTTGCCTTGTAACCTTGGGCAAGTTACTTACCCTCTCTGAGCCTCAGTATTCTCATCTGTGAAATGGAAAAGATAAACCCCATCTCATGGGCTTACCAAAAATATCGTGAAAATTACCTATAAAATGCTTACTACTGTTTCTGGCAAGTAATAAGCACTCAATACTTCATACTATTAATACTTAATACTATTGTTATAATAACCATTAAACATTTTCAGACTATTATTTATAATTTCTATTAAAAATGCTTTGTGAATGCCAACCAACAATCTTACAAGCAAAATTTGAACCCATTCTGTTAGCAAGCTGTGGACTGCTTTTCCTTCCCAGAGTGGAAAAGTGATTTGCTTTACATTACAGAAGAGTTCACAGGCGCCACCAGGAAATGGAGCAAACATACTTGTTTCCCTTATCTGTGCCATAAGAGTGTGTCAAGCAGGTGAGCACAGTCATGTTGGTGTGAAACCAGCAGAAGGCAGGCGTTGGAGGCTCAATCATTTGATTCAGTAACAGATGCTGTTTATAACACACAAGTACTTCCCTGGATCCTCTTGGTATGTGTGACATGGACTATGTGCTGAGAGTGCATGCCATGTTATGTCCCAATGGTACGCATGGCCTTTGATTCAGACAGTGCAGTAGAACACTCTGGGTTGGGCATGGGCTCCTTCTTATCCTGCCCAACCTGCCTCCCCACACCACTAAGCCTGTCAAGATAACTGGCTCACATCCCATTAGGAAGAATTACCATGATCACTAATGGGTAGTTAGGGACAGCGTTCCAGTTTAAAGACTTTCATGGGCCGTGAAAGCTAGTGAGTAAATAACCGTTTATCAACCAGTCACTTAGAGGACACTGCACAGAATGATGTTCTAGGACTTCCAAACATATAGAAGCCATATATCATAATGGAGCATAAAAGTTATGTGTGAATAGGCTGTAAAACTGAACAACTGTTTACCTTAGTGAAGTTTTATTTACATGCCCTGAAGTAGATACTTAGATGTGCTTCATACGGAGGCTGCCGATCCCAGCTGTAAGCAGAGCTCAGCAAAGTGGCAATGCATCGGTTAGATGCCAACTGCAGCGTGCTTTCAGGGGCCCAGGGAAGGCTTCTGTGCAAAGCTCAGTTTGCCTGCCTGATGCTTAAAATTTCTTGAATGAGAAACTAAAGCTTTATTTCCATAATTCCAGAAAATTCAATTTGACAATTTCAACATTGAATTCAACATGGAATACTGCTTAATGCACAAATAGTCAACATTTACAGGGTTACATTCTTTACAGAGTGCTTCCATATGTGTAATCTTCTTTATCCTCAAATGCTCCAATAAATTTAACTATTGCTCCCAATTATGAGGAGGGATCTGTGACTTGAAGGAGTTAAATGCCTTGCCTGAGGGTGCATTCTGGGCATAGCAGGGCTGGGACTGGAGTCTGGTGCTTCTGCTGAGGCCTCCTTGTCAGTGATCTTTCCACAAGGGTGGGGGCTTGCATTAACTGCCATACAGGAGCCAGTTTTGAAAGGCAGTAGATGCGAACTGGAGAGGGGCGTCAGCACTCCCCAGTTGGGGCAGGCCTTGAGGGCTCCTTCTCTGCAGTGCTCCCTGCTCACTCCTGGTTGATCCTGCCCAGGGCTGTGTTGTTCTGATGAGCCTGCACGTGTTTCCTCTAAGCTTACGGAGTTGGCCCCATTCGACACTTGCATTCCCTGTTGTGATTGAAACCCCATTCCGATCCCCAGCCTCCTTGGCTGAAGTCCTGGAAACCTGCTACTTCCTTGCCAGCCCTGTCCTCCAGGAAGCTGAGCTCTGTCCCCCATGCTCCCTTTCCCAGCTGGGGTTTTGTTCCTGTGGACAGACCTGCCAGAACTGAATGCTGATTGCTGTTTTGTTTTTCCTTGGTCTCCTGCTATTTCAGAGAACTGCCGTTTGTTCATTTTTATTTCTATCATTATACGCATTTTTATTGAACATCTACTATATATAAGACACAATCCAGGATTGACCCCCTTGGCTCTCAAGGTCACCCTAATGGAACCAGTTTGCCACACACCTATAGAAGTTCTACTTTGTGTTACTGTGGTCTATCTCACAGGAGGCTTTAAAGTTGGTCTTTGGTTCTCTATGTGTCCCCCAGCTGGTAAACACACAGTAAATGGTAGCTTAGGGGAGACACCAGAGGTAAGGGTGGGTCACGGTTGGGAATAGAACATGGGAAATGGGTTCTAGGAGACTTTTAAGACAACATGGGGATTTCTGAATGTTACCAAGGCCTGACTGGCCCTGGCTCCAGGTGAGTCAGTGAGCAAGTGACTCTGCTGAGTGACAGTCAATGAGCCAAAGAAGAGGTGGGATCATTTATATAAAAGGGTAACAAGGAATGACCTTCAGTGTTGTTGTTTAATGACATTACCTTCTCAAGCTGCAATCCTTTAGTTTCACAGGTATCTGTCACAATACTTGAATGAATTTGATCTGAATTTCTGCTCTATCTATTTCCCCACCAGCTTCATTTCGAAAATCACCTTTTCTGAATGACAAGTGAATCAATTCAATAACATGCAATTTTACACAGTAGGAAGCTATTCCCATATCCCACTTCATACTTGTAACTATCGGCTGCTTTTCTGAATAGCAGGCATATGTTTCAAAGTCACGTTATTTTCATCTCCAGAGTCCGAGGTGGAATGACACTGAGAGGGACACAACTCCGATGTGAGGCTGAACACTCTCCTCTTCCTCCCCGTTTTCACAAGCAACTCTTTTTTGTCATAGCCAGAGCTGCCAGCCTGCATTCAATGTCCCATCAGTTCAGTTGTGTAAAGAAATCATTGGCTTGATCAGCTTCATTTTAGAAGCTTTCTGATATGCTGGGTGTTTTTTTTTTTTTTTTTTTTAATGTTGTTTCCCGAGCTTTTGGAATCCTGACAAGGTAAATGAAGGTGAAATGAACATGTATATTTTGGCTTTGTTTTCCAGGGCTAGGTAAAATTATGGACAGGATTGTATTACTAGAAGAATTAGGAGGAGATAGGCTGCACACATTGGTTGATCCACAGAGTCTGTGGGTAATGAGCTGGAAAAAAGAAAACTAAAAACTGCTGATTGAAAATTTGAATCATTAAAAGCTTTGAAATCAACATCTTCTTTTAGAATTTCAATCTTCTATGATTTGCTTAGAGTCAGTGGTCTGAGCCACAGGCCAAATTGTCAATCAAAATGAGCGGGGTTTGCTCATGACCTCCGTTGTTTCAGAGATTATATTAAACACTTCAAAAGCTGCAGTAACTCTTCCAGGGCAGCAGAGCGGTCATCAGGGTACAGTACTCCCTGGACTTTCATTGATTTAGAATTTGCATTTCTCATTATTTGCAAATGACCCTCCATGTTTAAAATATATTATAATTTGTATTTTTGCTGAAGCATGAATTAGAATTTCACTTGCCGGCTGGGATGCAAGTGTAGTGGTGTTGCACAGCTAGTAAATGAGTCAGGCATCTTGCCCCCAGGCACCCAAAGAAAAAATGTTGTTTTCATTCATTGTATATGCATATTATGGGGGAAATTATGTGCCATAGTGGTAATTTGTGAATTGGAGGGATTCATAAAGGTCTTGGAAAAAATTACTCTTGAGTGTCAGGCTGTACTGTAGGTATATCTTATTATAATGAAACTCAGTACAGCATTGCTTTGCTTGTGTGAACATGACTTACTGGCCATTAAAAGATGACTTATTTTGTAATCAGTATGTAAAGAAAAAGGGCTGCTGAGCAGACAATATAGATGTTTCCACATTTATCCACATGAAAATTCAAGCTCTTAACTCAAAGGTGATCTCCTCAAACCTTCATCCAGAGCCACTCTCTCCCTTTTTCCTTTAGTGTGGATCTCAGGTGCAAATTGAAGTCATCATCCTAAGGAGCTCTTGGCATCTACCTACTCATGGTCTTGCCCATGTGTTAGTTCATTTTCACATTTTCCCTTTTCATGCCCCATCCCAATGCCTATTCTCTCCCTTGATATATTATAAACATGCATACTAATGTGTTGAGAATATGCCATTAAAATGTATGACATTTAAATTTATATAAATGGTATTTCAGTAAAAAAAATATAAATATATATGTGCATATATATTTGCTTTTTACTGTTTCCATTTGGCCTAATTTTCTAGGATTTATCCATGTGGTGAATGTGCATCTGGCTAATTCTTCTGTTGTATCGTGTCCAGAGTGTATCCACCATGTGATGCTTACAACGCCAGTTACAGACACCATTGTTGGCTCAAGGCTTTGCTGCTACAAACAATGCTGTGAGGACCATTTTATCCATGCCCCTATACCATCATGGGTGAGTGTTTCTGGAGTGTTAGCTCTAGAGTAGGATTACAGGTTGGGGGGTGATCCCATGCTTAGTGGGTAGTACCGCCAAGGTACTCTCCAGAGTGCCTGTTCCACTTTCCTCTCCTATCAGGAGTGAAATAGGTTTTCTATTTCATCATATTTTTTTTTCCTCAGACTGAGTCATGGAAATATACTTCTTGATTTTACTTAGTGCATTTACTGTTATTTGTGAGGTAGAACATCTCTTCATATATTTGTTAGTCTTTTGGATTTCTCTTCCTGGGAATTGTCTGTTCATTGCCTTGTCCATTTTACAGTTGGCTTTCTTGTCTTTCTCATTAATTTATTGGAATTCCATGTATATTTCAGACATTTATTTTTGTCAATTTTAGTTGGTGCAAGTTTCTTCCTGTATTTTTTTGTCAAAGAGAAATTCTTTTATATATGGCAAATGTTTTATTTTGAAATAATTTTAGATTTACAGAAAAGTTGTAAAGATACTACGGAGAGTTTTCTCTTCACCAAGGTTCCCTTAATGTTAATGTCTGATCTAACTTGGCACATTTTTAAAAACTAACAAATTAACATTGGTTTAATACTATTAACCAAACCACAGATTATTCAGATTTTACCAGTTTTCACATTGATATCCTTTTACTGTTCCAAGATCCAATCCAGGATGCTACATTGCATTTGGTTGCTGTATCTCTTTAGTCTTTTGATCTGTGAAAGTTACTCTCTTTTTTCCTTAGTTTTTATGATGGTCTCAGTTTGAGTAGTACTGGTCAAGCATTTTGTGGAACGTCCCTCAATTTGGGTTTGTCTGATATTTTCTTTTTTTAAAAAAATACTTTCAATTTTTATTTTAGATTCTAGGGGCACATGTGTAGGTTTGTTAAATGGGTGTATTGTGTGATGCTGAGGTTTGGGATATGAATGATTCCACCACCCAGGTAGTGAGCGTAGTGCCCAAAAGGTAGTTTTTCAACCCTTGTCCCTTCCCTCCCTCCCCCTTCAAGTAGTCCCCAATGTCTGTTGTTGCCATCTTTATGTCCATGAATACCCAATGTTTAGCTCCCACTTATAAGTGAAAATGTGGTATTTGGTTTTCTGTTTTTGCATTAATTTGCTTAGGATAATGGCCTCTAGCTCCAGCCATGTTGCTGCAAATGATGTGATTTTATTCTTTTTTATGGCTGTGTAGTATTCCACGGTGCATATGTACCACATTGTCTTTATCCAGTCTGTAACTGATGGGCACCTAGGTTGATTCCATGTTTTTGCTGTAGTGAGTAGTGCCATGATGAACATATGAGTACAAGTGTCTTTTGGGTAGAGCTATTTATTTTCTTTTAAATATATACCTAGCAAGGGGATTGCTGGGTCAAATGGTAGCTCAATTTTAAGTTATTTGAGAAATCTCCAAACTGCTTTCCACAGTGGCTGAGCTAATTTACATTCCCAACAGTGTGTAAGCATTCCCTTTTCTCCACAGCCTTGCCAGCATCTGTTTTTTGACTTTTCAGTAACAGCCATTCTAACTGGCGTGAGATGTTGTCTCATCATGGCCTTGATTTGCGTTTCTCTGATGATTAGTGATGTTGAGCATTTTTAAATGTTTGTTGGCTACTTGTATGTCTTCTTCTGAGAAGTGTCTGTTCATGTCTTTTGTCCACTTATTTTTTTGAGACAGAGTCTCACTCTGTTGCCCAGGCTGGAGTGCAGTGGTGTGATATTGGCTCACTGCAACTTCTGCCTCCTAGATTCCAGCAATTCTCCTGCCTCAGGCTCCCAAATAGCTGGGATTACCGGCACATGTCACCATGCCTGGCTAATTTTTGTATTTTTAATAGAGATGGAGGTTTGCCATGTTGGCCAGGATAGTCACGAATTTGTCCACTTTTTAATGGGGTTATTTTGCTTTTGCTTGTTGAATTGTTTAAATTTCTTATAGATTCTGGATATTAGACCCTGTCTGATGCATAGTTTTCTTTCATCTTGTAGGTTGCCTGTTCTCTCTGTTGATATTTTCTTTTGCTGTGCAGAAGCTGTTTAGTTTAATTAGGTCCCACTTATCAATTTTTGTTTTTGTTGCCATTGCTTTTGAGGACTTAGTTATAAATTCTTTCTCAAGGCTGATGTCCAGAATGGTATTTCCTAGGTTTTCTTCTAGGATTCTTATGGTTTGAGGTCTTACATTTAAATCTTTAATCCATCTTGAGTGAATTTTTTTATATATGGTGAAAGGTTGGGGTCCAGTTTCATTCTTCTGCATACAGTTAGCCAGCTATCCCAGCACCATTTATTGACTAAGGAGTCTTTCCCCATTGCTTATTATGACTGTGAGTATACAGCTTTTTTCCTGGATTCTCTATTCTGTTCTGTTGGTGTATGTATCTGTTTTTGTACCAGTACCATGCTGTTTAGGTTACTGTAGCCTTGTAGTATAGTTTGCAATTGGGTAATATACTGCCTCTGGCTTTTTTCCTTTTGCTTACGGTTGCTTTGGCTATTCAGGCTCTGTATTGAACCAACTCATATTGGTTCAATATGCATTTTAGAATAGTTTTTTCTAATTCTTTGAAAAATGACAGTAGTTTATGACATTAGTAGGAATAGCATTTAATCTTTAGGTGCACAATTTCTAAACTCCTGTTGCAGAAGAGTGGGTGCTTCAGATGTCAGAAGATCTGCCTGGGCATAAGCAGAGAAGGCCCTGCTGAACCACAAACTCTGCATAGGAAGAGGGACGTGGTTCAGGCTGCCAATCTATGTGAGCAGGTGCTTTACATACCTGGAGATCTGCCTGGGTATGGAGCAAAGAGGGCCCCATAGAACCACAATCTATGCCTGGGAAGGGTGGGGTGGCTCAGGCTGCTGAATCAGGTGAGCCAGTGCTCCAGGTGCCTGGAGATCTGCCTGGGCGTGAAGTAGAAAGGGCTCCCCTGCAACAAGATCTCTGCACAGGAAGAGTGGGGCAGCTCAGTCTGCTCATCTAGGTGAGGGAGAACACTGGATGCCTGGTGATCTGCCTGGCATGGAATGGAGAGGGCCCTACCGCACCATGATCTATGCTTAGGGAGGTCTAGGTGGCTCAGGCTGCTGGTCTAGGCAAGCGTGTACTCTGAATTCTTGAAGTTCTGCCTGGGTGTAGAGTGGAGAGGGCTCTGCTTCACTGTGATCTCAGGGGAGCAGACTGGGGCACCCAGAAACAACACATGTAAAGTGATTCCAGGTTGCCAAGCCAGCTCTGGCTGCAGGTCTTATTGTTCAGGAGAAACTGCAGCTGTAGCAGCTCTCCTCCTGCTCCAGGCCTGTGATGGGGGAGAGCACAGTTCCAGCACCTACTACTGAGGTGCTTTCCATAGTTCTGACTGTGGAGGCCCCTACCCTGCTCCAGAGCAAGTGCTCCAATATCTGGCCCAAGATTAAAATACCTGTGTGGTCACACTGCTAGGCTGCCAAAGAATGACTGACTTTGTTTGTGACTGGATTAAAAATGGTGTCCTGCTCTCAATACCAGTCTGGGAAAATGCCTGCAGCTTTTCCCAGTGTTTTTCTCTCGGTGCCTCCAAGCTTTTCCTCAAGTTAGCTCCAGAGGTTGGGAAAAACAAAGTGCTCTCCCCTGTCCTGGGTTGCTAGGTGAGTTACAAGGAAGGCTGCCTTGTCCTCTCACGTACTGGGGCTTCACTCGCTTTTATCAGCCCGTCACCTTCACGGGAGCTGTTTGCCTGTGTTCTCCTCCTTAGGATCTGGGGTGTCCTTCATGATTATAGTGGATTCCCATTTTCCTTCTTGAATTAAAGCTCACAGAGTTGATCTATTTTTCTTTTTCTTTTCTTTTCTTTTTTTTTGAGACAGGGTCTCACTCTGTCACCCAGGTTGGAGTGCAGTGGCATGATCTTGGCTCACTGCAACCTCTGCCTCCTGGGTTCAAGTGATTCTCCTGCCTCAGCCTTCTGAGTAGCTGGGATTACAGGTGCCTACAACCATGCCTGGCTAATTTTTGTGTTTTTAATAGAAATGAGGTTTCACCATATTGGCTAGGCTGGTCTCTCTAACTCCTGACCTCATGTGATCCGCTGCCTCAGCCTCCCAAAGCGTTGGGATTACAGGCGTGATGAGCCACCGTACCAAGCCACAGAGTTGGTCTTTATGCACTAGGTTGCTATTTCCAAGTGGCCAAGGAATGTTAAAAGCCTCTAATCCACCATCTTGGGAAAAAAATAAGTGTGTGATGTTTTCTTAGGATTAAACTGGGCTTATGAATTTTTTTGAAGATCACAGAAGTAAAGTGCTCTTTTTATCACACCACATCAAAGGGTACATAATATTAATATAACTTATCTCTGGTGATACTAACTTTGAACACTTGGTTAAGGTGGTGTCTGCTAGTTTCTCCACTGAGAAGTTACATTTTTTTTCTTTTTCATATTCTGTTTTTTGGATATGAGTCACTAGGTTCAGCCCACAGTCAAAGGGAGGGGAATTAAGCTTCACCTGTTTGACGAAGAAGCATTTATATATATTTAATATAATATTTAAAAAATATATATTTATATATATTATTTGGAATTTCTTTAGGAAGAATAAATACTTAATTTTGATGTAATTGAAGTTGCTAATTTTTCATCTTATTTTAAATTTTGATCCAGGATCAGTTGGATATCAGGGATCATATTTTGCATTTGGTTGTCTTCGACTTGTTTTTTACGAGTCCAGTCCAATTGTCCTAATGTTTTACAATATGGATTTTTCTGATTTTTTTTTTTTGTTCTTAGACTCAAAGTTATATTGTTCCCATTGTATTACATGAAGAGGCACATAACGTCAGCTTGTTCCGTTATTGGTAACTTGGTTTAGGTGGTGTGTATTAGATCTCTTTGTTGTAAATGTATATATATTTTTTTCTCTGTGGAATCAATAAGTAGTCCATGGGATGATATATTAAGATTGTGTAAATATTGTGTTTTCAATAATCTTTTGCCCAATGGCTTTATCATACAT